AGTAAGGGATACTATCAAAAGTTGTTAGCAGAATTTTCTTAATAAAAATTACCCTGCGATGCATCTTGAAAATGCTGGTGACACTAAGGGCTAAAAATCCATATCATGGCAACACTGCTTGCACCCTATCTGGCGAGTGGCAACTTGCGGCAGTCTAAACTCAGCCTGGTCTAAACCCAGTGGGCTTACAATCTATACTGTTTGCAGTTTCTATTAGTCAAGATAGGATGCATTGCACACTTACCTTATCCTTGGTGTGATCAGTGCTCAAGTTTAATATTGCCATACAATATTGACATTCTCTTTAAAATGAGAATCTTGCCATCACAAGACCTTTATCTCAAATCCAAATACCAAATCCTGTTACTAATTATACATCTACTATCAAATCATATTGGAAATCATAATGAAATCATAATCCCTTTTATTTCCATCAAAACTCATGATTTTTCACACAATATAATTTGGGAAATCGTATTGTATGAACAAATATTCATATGTGGATGTAGCCCAATCATAATTTGGCATTATTTATCATTATTTAGAAAAAAGTATCAAACCTCTGATGAGATAAATGTAAATTAGAAATTTAACAGAACAGTAAAATTCTTACATAAAAGATTGTTTTCTATTTATTTTTTGAGAGAAATTTGTATTAAATACAAATTTAAATTAGTAGTCCAAAGTAAATAAATAGTAAATTTCATGAGCCTATGGCCTTTCCTATTTTTTCATTTGAATCATGCCAACGTGAGGCTTAACCCTTTTACGAACAAGTTATCATACATGATCACTTGAATTTGCCTTGCAAAAAGTCTCACCGCGGCTTTCTGTTTGTTTTTGAGGCGTCTTCATAACTCCTCAGTCAATTACTAATTATCTGACTAATCATTCCATCCATAGCATCACCACCTGCAATGTCCACAAATTAAAATATGAGCATTTAAACAAAAGTTTTGACTCGGACGATGGAATTGATGCTCTTTCCAAGGATGCTTTAATATGTATTATATTTTCAGTAACTTGATTGCATTAAATTAAATTGTTATGTTACTAATTTTTCATTTGCATAAACTAAATTTTAATCATTAAGAAAAATTTCTAGTACTGACCGCATTTAATGAATTCTTCAAGTGCAATTTAAACCTTCAATATTAAAATTTTTTAGAAATACATACAAATAAATATTTTGTATAATACTTCTTACTTTCTTGAAATGGATTCTGAAATTTTAATTTCTTGATATATCAATGCTTGCTTGCCAAAGGGTTAATTATTCATGTCTGAGGTCGCGCTCATGACATTGAATTCGTAATATTAAGCCCATACCTGAGGATCGGGTTCTTTGACTAAGGTAGTGAGGAATAAGGAAGACACATCAGTCCAGATAACGTATCTTGTATACAGGGTGGTTATACAGAGTTGCGATACAGAGGTATAAGCTACAGCATCGACCGTAAGGTCGGAGAACTCTACCAACATGCTACATCGTGGAGTGCTCATCAGCTACTGAGGGGCTTGCTTAAGGTTGCTAGACCTTTAATAAGCTTTGCTAAGGTCTTGATCGTGTGATCAATCACGTGTCATGTGACACATATGCTGTATGGCAAGGTCTCAGTGACATCGTGGACTCAATCTCCTACTTAACTTTTATTCAAGTACCGTAAAATGGGGTAACTTTGACCACTTTTTTTTCAAAATAATTCTATTTTTTTACTAGATAAGTTGAACCTAAATTTAAACATGCAAAATACAGGTCTATACTCCAGCTTAACTCACCATAAATTGCTGGCTCCTGCCTCTCATAGTTTTGATGTAATTTCAAAAAAAGTGATGGTCTTTGTTACCCCAGCTCTTGGGGTTAAGCTGCTAGCTACGTACAATGTATTGCACACTTGATGCCTCTGTACCAAAACATTCAATTTATTGGAACCTAATACATACTAAAGGCAACAAGTTTATATACCAATTTGTCATTCATAGTACATTTATACTAAACCAATATAAACAATTATATATAAACCATTTATTTATACCTCAATATAAATTAAAGATTGCCACTCAATATATTTAAATATATGAAAAAATAAAAAAAATAAAAAAAATCATGATTTTTTTATCAAAAAATCAAGTGATTTAATCATTTTGATTTAATCATTGCAACCCTGCTTTAAAAAGTAATTTTTAAACGTATATTATTATCATTTGAATCATGCCAACGTGAGGCTTAACCCTTTTATGAACAAGTTATCATACATGATCACTTGAAATTGCCTTGCAAAAAGCCTCACCATGGCTTCCTGTTTGTTTTTGAAGCGTCCTCATAGCTCCTCAGTCAATTACTAATTATCTGACTATCATTACACCCATAGCATCACCACCTGCAATGTCCAGAACTTGAAAGGGTGACTTGCACCTTTGAATGGGTGGCTTCCACCATTGAAGGGGGTGGCTTGCACCATTGAAGTGTGTGGCTTGCACCATTGAAGTGTGTGGCTTGCACCATTGAAGGGGTGGCTTGCACCATTGATGGGCAACTAGGGCCATTGACGTTCAATATTAGCTGTCTTATTTGTTCAATTTGTTTAATTACCAACAAGTTGATTAACACTTTGACTACAACTCCCAAAAAAGCCCATATTCCTTTGATGCAACTCTATAATTTCAATAAATTTAGGTATGTACATGGCAGCAAGAAAATTTTGCTGCTTTCGCTTGTTTGCCGATTGTTTAAATGAGCTTTACATGATTGTAACATGAAAACCGTGAGCCTCTATGGGTGCATGTTGCTTGGAACAGAAATGTATCTCTCTGGGCATGGCATTTATTATTAGACTCCAATAAAAATACCGCATTGCATAAGTATTGACGTTTGAAATAACCTTGTTTTTTAGGCAAATAGAATCAAAATGTTACTGCAATACTCAAAGTACAAAGCATTCTAGATTACAATAGGATAGGTAGATTTAAAATCATATCAGATGACTCCTTACAATACTGCACAAAGACAAAGCATAAAGAGATAAAGAAATCTTTTGAAGTTGTTAACATGTTAACAACAACAACAACAACAACTAATGCATGGGCTCTATACTATCTGTTCTATACATAGTCAGTATAACAAACAAAACCAAATCAGTGGGAATAACTGAATTCAACAGTGGGTATAACTGAACCACAAAATCAGTGGGTATAACTGAATTTGTTCAACATGACTAAATGTATTGCTCCTTGTAATGATAAAAACATGCAAATAAATGCTACCAAGACCAAATTGCGCTGATAGACAAGGTCTGCATTTTGGCATTATCTTACTTTGAAAAGAAAATGCGCTAAAAAGCTGGGATTGATTGCATGGAATGGGTTTATATTTTTGCGAGTATCTCAACGTGGATGAGATTAAAAATATATATTTATATATTTTTTATTTATACCATGATAGAATGCTATATGATTTATACCATGTATAGAACAGATCGTATAGAGCCCATGCATTGGTTGTTGTTGTTGTTAACAACTTCAAAAGATTTCTTTATCTCTTTATGCTTTGTCTTGGTGCAGTATTGTAAGGAGTCAACAATATTTGGTCTAAAATAAGCTGGGAATCCATTTTACTGTGTATCTTGCTTTTATAATGGCATTCACCATGACTCAGCCCGCTTCTGGATGTCTATTATTTAATATCCTGCTTTGATAATCCGTGCATGAGCAAAGAAAATATTTTTCTTCACTGGAATAGGGTAACATCTTCTTTTTCATGCTTTTTCATTTTTTTACCCACTCATTATTTTGTACTTGATTCTAATTGATTGATTACTAATATTCTTCTAATCTAATTCTCCAACATTTTTATATGTTTTTGAGGACCTTTTTGACAATATTCTATAAAATATTTTACAAGTTTATGATCTGCTGAACTTGATCTGTAGGGCTTTAAAAGGCAAATTTTTTAAATATGTGTACCACATTGAGTATGTGTATGTTGCAGTTTGAGACATTCATACATGAACCATATCTGGCGCACTTTGCGTCAAAGTGTTGAAGCAGACAGCATGTTTGTCACTTTGAGACACTCAGAACAACATAAACCCATTCCATGCCATCAACACCAGGTTCACCAGGGTGTTGATTTTAAGTTCAATGCAAATCATTTTATTATATATACTAAAACCATATATATACCCTTGACAGCAGATGTAAATCTTGCAGTCTACATGCTTAGAAATGAAGTGTGTAAAAATAAGGATTTTCCAATTTTTCGACATAGGAAGACTTATTTCAATTCATTTTTTCTCAGTCCTATCTGAAATTTTTTATTGCCATTTATAGATGCCTATCTGTGGAGGCAGATGCCTATCTGTGGAGGCAGAGTGTCATTTCATGCAAGAGCTGTCAGTGGAAGAATGGTTTGGTGTCTGCAAATACAATTTAGAAATTTCAATCAATTGGATCAGATTTATCACCAGGTTTAGAATATTTAAATTAATAATCTAGATAATGGAAGTTTTTTTCTATAAAGCTGATAATTTTTCATTTCATTGAAAATTATTCTATGTATTTATCATAAATATATTGTCTGTTGGAATTATGAAGAGTAATGCAAACCAAAGCTGTTGTTCTGCTGAAACTTTAATCAACTTTATGTAGATATAACCCTTAACAGCTATGACTTGGATAGATATTATTATTACGTTATTATGGAGGTTTCAGAATAAATCAAGTTTTTTTTTATATCTTTTAACTGCGTGAATAATTTATTCCAAATTGATACTCTTAATGGTATGTACATATACCTACCACCGTGTGTTTAAACTCATGGAACACATGTGTAGTAACATTACTACACATGTGATTAACAAGAGGTACATAGTCTGTACCGCTTGTCACACCACCCATAGAATCCCAGAACCGGCCTTGTCAGCAGATTCTATATACCTATTACTGTATTTTAGAGGTGCTAATTATCTTTGATCAAGTCTTAAGAGAAAAAATTTTTTTCCAGGTGTCATTACAAGGCTTTTTGATGTGATCATTTTGCTATTCCATTCAGAATTAAAAGCTTTAGTGATAGAGTTCACTTGCACTGAAACCAATCAGAATTGATGACTGTATTGTTTATATTGACACCCCTTGGTTACTGGCAGTAATATAATTTGCCAAAAAATGTCCGACAACATCAAAGTTGTCGTGCGTGTGAGGCCGCCTCTAGCGCGAGAGGAGGGGGAGACCCTGCACTGGAAGGTGACAGGTGAAGATTCCAACAGCCTCATGCAAGTGACGGCTCATGATAAAAATGCTGCTACCTTCTCTTTTGGTGAGTTCTCTTAAAAACTTGTGGATACTACCCATGCAATAATCCATTATAAATTTTTAATGAAATATTTGCAAATATAGTTGGGTGCCTGAATTTGAACATTAGAAAACACATGATTGAATTGCATAACATTTAATATAAGGTTTATGAGGTATTGTTATTGTCTTGCAGATAAAGTGTTTGACCAGACTGCTGATAATGAAAAAATATTCACCGAAGTGATGCAGCCGATAGTTGAAGGAGCTCTTAATGGCATCAATGGAACGGTGTTCGCCTACGGCCAGACATCATCAGGTGAGGGATGCTTTACTTACAATCACACTTAGTCAGCTGAGAACTCAGTGAAAGGTGGCAAAAGCTGCAGGAACATTTCCCTCTGCCCATGTAATGAAATCTAATGTCCACTTCACAAACATGTCTTTGATGGTAGTAGAAGTAGAGGGATAGATGTAATACCTAGAAGTCATATTGTTCTCCCCAAAATAGCCTAATGTCTAATTTTATAGTAGAGGAGTAATAGAAGACATAATCTGGAAAATCCTTAATGTACTAAACTTCTATGTTGTAAACGTCATCATTACATTTGCAACGTTATTCTGTAATTGAGTGGAACTCAACCTTCCCTTAACTTGCTAACTGATGCTGCCTTTTCTTCAGAGCCTCGTATATGGAAATATACAATGAACAAATCGCAGACCTGTTGGTGGGTCGCTCCAACATTCCAGGCAACAAGGGGCTCGTGGTTCGGGAAGACACGTCGGGCAACATCCATGTTCCTGACCTCAGGGAGGAGTGTGTCAACAACCAAGACAAGGTAAGGTGCTGATGTGGTGTGTAATTGCTAGTTATGCAATCAATTCGCTTGTTATGTAGGTAATTATTTTACTTGTTATGTTATGGAATAGAAGTGTCGGCGCTGAAGAAATAGGCCCATGGCATGTTGCCGATTCTTGAACTTTTCGTGACTTGATTCACAGGGGATCCGGCCTTTGGAACCCGATCTTTCCATAGCTGACGATTGATTGAGATAGCTGCTGGACTTATTGCATGATCCGTAATTTGCTAGGCATTTTCAGACTGAACAAATGCTCCTGTATAGCTTCATCTAGTCTGTTCTATCATTTTACTTGTTATGTTATCAATTCACTTGTTATATCATCATTTCACTTGTTCTGTAATCATTTCACTTGTTATGTCATCATTTCAATTGTTATGTAATCATTAAACAGTTACCATGAAAAAAATAGAAGTGGGTTTGAATGGGCCCATTTATTTGAGTCAATTTTGTTTGCTGGTTTATAGAATTTGCTCAATGTTCCTAATTGTGATCGTACATTGATGTTAGTGGGCAAGAAATATGCAATTTTGTTTGACACGCAAGCAGTTCATTTGTATATAGAGTGCTGACCTGTCACTAAATGAATGCAATTCCACGTAGCTGCTGTCCATGATGCATCGTGGCGACCGCAACAGACAAGTGGGATGCACCAACATGAACGATCGCAGCTCGCGCTCACACACAATATTCAGGATTGTGAGTGTTCTTTCTTTTATTCACAGTCCACTCATTTTTAATAAGTGGACTGGGGCGTGCTCTCTAGTTCTTCACACGGAAACTATTCCAACCATGAATTTTTTATTATTTTTCTGTGTTCTTTCCAGTGTCTGTATGTTACTCATATTGCTGATTGAGGGACTGCTTGTCAACACATGCGTGTGAATTCTGTTGTTTTATTTCTCTGTTTCACTCTCTTTTCCTTGACCTCTTCAATCATGAGACAACAATGAAATTGTTCTGTGGATATATTAATTTTATTACAGAAATGACAAGTAAGGTATATTTTTCTTACAATTCTTATGTAATTGGCTGAATGTGCAGATAGTCGAGTCACAGACAGCTATTGATGGAGACAACAGCCTGGAGGCGGGACTGTCAGAGGATGACGTGGCGGTGACAGTCTCACACCTGAACCTCGTAGACCTTGC